AATACAGTTAGCTAACGGAATGTTGGTGGTTGTATTCAGTTGCCCGTTCAGGCTTGAAATATTGAAGGAAGAGCACGTAAGGTCTTCCTCCACCAATAGAGCCGGAAAGCCTCCGTATGACCTTCAATGTATTGGTGCGACTAAAAACCAACTTAAACAAAAAACAAAAGCCAAAAAGTCTTGACTCTTAATTTTAGATAAGCAAATTTATTCATGAACGTTAATAATTTCTTAAAATAAGATATTTAATTAAAAGACGAATTCATTACCTTGACTACAGATTGGTTTTTTATATCCAGGGTAACATCCTTCAGGGCATACGCCGTTTTGTTTGTTACATGATAGGTCATGCTTACAATGTCCACATGTGGAATCACAATTTTCGCCGTAAGTGTTGTTATAACATTCTGTAACATAATTTAAAACTTAAAACACTGTACTAAATGATCACGAAGGACTAGAATGAAATGCAACATAATTACTTTCTTTACACTTGTTTCTTTGAAATCTTGGCTTGCACCTTTCATTACAATCGCCATTAAGATAACCACATACATCATGTTTACAATTTGAAGGACAACTCTCCGTACATTCAATACCAAACTTCCCAGGCAAATATTTTAACCCTTTCGCTGCCAGAGGTTTATTGTTTTATTGTTCACCTATTTGCCAGAGGATTTTCTAAGAAATTACTATATTATTAATTAATATAATTATTATAATTTGTTATTAGTATTAAAATAATTATATATGTTTACAAATCTGTTAGTATAATAATAATTATTGTCGATGGTATAATTTTCTTTGTATCTATTATTTTTATTATTATTATTATATTTATTATTATTACTATTATTATTATATGGACGGCTAAAGCCGTCCATATGGCAAATACGCAGAAAATAACAGGGACGGCTTAAGCCGTCCCTATGGCAGTGAAAGGGTTTTAATAATGACATGATGAAAGAAAGTACTATATTTCATTATAGCAGTTAACTTCGCAAATACCAAAATGAATTATATAAATTAACTCATCAGAATGTGAACATTATTCAGGCATGAAATATGCAAAGACATAGATAATGATAAAAAATTGAATTTCTTTTGACATCCGTTTGTTTGTCTTTCCGTATTCTTGCTTGCATATGCGCACTGATGATTTATCATAAAAAGACGATAAATCAAGATAGTTTATGGATTCATTTCTTGAAAAGTAAATATTTCTATTTCAACTGTGTGGGAAAACGATAAAAAATAATCAAAGTAAAACAAACAAATTTAAAACGGTGTTGAAAATTAATAACATATGTGTGACAGATTTCATGTTCATGCTTGAAATAATGAAGGAAGGGCACGGAAGGTATTCCGTCACCAGTAAAGCCGGAAAGCCGCCGTTTGACCTTCAATGTATTGGTGCGACGAAAAATCCAAAAACAAAAGCCAAAAAATCTTGACTCTTAATTTTAGGTCAGCAAATTTATTCATGAACGTTAATAATTTTTTAAAATAAGACATTTACTTAAAAGACAAATTCATTACCTTGACTACAGATTGGTTTTTTATATCCAGGGTAACAACCTTCAGGGCATACGCCGTTTTGTTTGTTACAAGATAGGTCATGCTTACAATGTCCACATGTGAAATCACAATCTTCGCCGTAAGTGTTGTTATAACATTCTATAGCATAATTTGTTCAATTGTAAAATATCATCACAACATACCTATATTATTATACTTATCTATTTTACACTGTTTACACATTGATATATCCCTATATGTTACTTAATTTAATTATAAAATATTTCAATTATTATTATTATAATTATTCAAATTATACTTTAGAGAGGATGCATAAAAATGTCTCGAATACCACAATGCAGAACTAATAAATACTGTAAATTCAAAAATACTATTAGAGAAAACATTACTACATTACTTAAAGTACTTGAATCATTCGACTTGAAGTTGTACATCGTTTACAAAAATCACATTTGTTTGTGTTTCTTGAAGAAAAATAATTCAGATATATATAAAATACCTTGTATGCATAGAGGCGGAATCCATCCAGGTTCACATGAATTCGGACATGCTCCATCGGAAACATTGCAATAGTCGTTGTTCTTACATTTACCACATGTTTTTTTGCATTCTGGACCCCATTGTGTGTTGCAACACTCTACAAAACAATCATTGTTCTGATTTACAATCTGATGTTTAACTAGAAAACGAATCACATAGTTTAGTGTTTAGAACGCTAGATTCTAGTCTATCGGTTATATAGTCAGCAAGGAATTTAATGATATATTGAGTTTTATTGTCTAAAATAGTAAGTTGGTCAAATTGATATATCCAAAGGAATAATTCATTTGTCTTAAGTATAACATGCTCAATAAAATCACATCTTTAATCTCATCTTTAAGATCAATACTAAATTTTGATGTATATTTGGATTAATATCATTTTCATAATTTTAATGGAAAATCAAAGAATTTACATGTATACAGTTTATAAATGACATGATTATTTTTCAACATTTTGTTGTTTAGCGTATCTTATAATAATGCATGTATTAAATCAAATTGATATAATTAATAATAAATAAGACAACTTAAAAGATCCGGCCCGGTTAATTTATGATAACAGTCTATATTTTACGTCTGTAGGCTTTTTACCCTGAAATAGCTAGAAAACGCATGATACTTTAGAGCATGGGAATATTATTTACTGCTCGGTGAACCATGGAATCTAGTGTTCTTCAAATGGAAAAGACTTACTAACAAATAAACATGTATCAAATATAAACCAGAGCATTTCACCTCTAGTGTCGGCTTAGGCACCCTCTAAATCTTGATTACTATGTGTTAGTTATCAAATGAACAATAAGATACGAGAAATATAAATAAACTGATAGTCACCAATATCACAGGTTCCGTTATGTCCACTCCATCTACCTTTACATCCATATGGACACCATTCCTTCAATCTTTTGCAAACCCAGTTGTCTGACTTTTACACATGCACACCCTTTTCGCAATCCCAACCACACTTTCCAAGAGGACATTCTGTTTCGTTAAACAACTTTAATATTATAATTTTGTATGGAACATTTTGAAGTTGGTTATTATACAAAATATCATACAAATAAGAGAACAATATAACAATAAAAAATTGAACTATGTATTAATGTTTGTGTGCACATCTCGATTACGAAAGGTACAAATAGTAACGACTGTGTAAAAATCGCTTATCTGCTAAACGATTAGGTAGTGTTCTTATCCTCTCAATAGTCCAGAGCAGTGCTCGACATTCTAGAGCAGTATGTTTATCTAATTGACAGTCTAGATCAGGATGATTTTGCTCGACATACTAGAGCAGTATGTTTATCTGCTTGACAGTCTAGAGCAGTGTGTTTATTTGCTAAACATTCAATGAGTCAATCTACTTGCATGCTATTAGTCTTTCTTTGAGAGTACAAGTCTTATGTGGGTTAGAATTTTCTAGATGTATTTCAAACTTTGTGTTACGAATTGAAATATAATAGGATTATCAGATGTTACACGTTTATAAAAAGAAGGTATAAGCTCCACCCTTTGGGAACATAAAGGCGCTAGTATTAAACAGGTACGGTTTATTTAATCATCTTGGTTTTCCTTTAATGTTCCTTCATTTGTAGAAAAGGCATCTACATTATGACGAAAAACGACACATGATTAAACACAGATAAAGTTATCTAAACATAGTATCCACATCTAAGACAGCAGTTACAAACACACACACACATATGAAAATCAGAACTACTATGTATTGAAAGAGTATTCGATTGAATTTTTTTGGTGAAAAACATTATTACTGGGGGTTTATCAAAAATTGATGAAATGGTAGATAAAATGCAGAATAGTTCGCCCGACAAAAGCACACATTAATATCGGGTAACACCACCTTCAGCAGTCGGCATAACGTTTTTTTTTCTTCTACGGTATACTCGAACCCTGCCATCAGTTCGAAAACATTAGCTCGTCAAAGAAAAGAACGCCATTCCATTGTTGTCTAAGCCAGCGTTGGTGTGTACGATTAATAACACGATTTACGCGGCGACGTCGCCTCAAAACACAACTAACGTATGGTCGACGTCCATGTAATAACCCTCACGCATGCGGTTGCGCAAAGTTTGGGCAGATATACGATTGATATGTGTATCAGGGGGTGTAAGCAGCAGTAGATGGGACAATTAAGAAGAAATTGCGCAGGTGAGTGTTCCGAATAAAGCTGTCATAACTCTCATCGTGACGCGCTGACACCTATTACGTGGTCAATCAGTACGTCCTGTTGCTTATGTGTCGTATAGCACCAGTAGAACATCCAATATTCATAGCGACGGCATTCATCGTCATTCCAGCATTTGGCGTGCCAATCGCAAGTTCGCGTACATTTTGTGGAATCTAGACATATCAACAATAAAGAAAACTGGAAAATAAAATTTCAACGTCTTTTTCTTTTTTGACATGGAAGTAAAGAAAATTACAATGAAGTAAATTACAATGAAAGATTTCATAAAATATTCACGAATGTACCAGATTTTGCATGCACGCGAAAATCGCAGTCCACTTGTTTTTCCTGCAAAACGAGTTAAAATCGAGATTAAAATCTGATTTATCTGACACATAATCGTTCGGCCGAATATATGTAGCGCATTTGACAGTTTAAGTGTTTTAAATAACACTTTTCCTCTACTAAAACACATGGGAAGTTTCTATTTTTGTTCAGTACATGTAAGGGTTTTAAGAGTATCATGAGCCAGGAACTTGATGCGTGGAACCGCACAGGGTACAAGTTAAGTAACATACCCGAGCATTTAATAGTTTAAAGATACTCTTAGTCTTTAAACCATATGTTCTATCGTAACATTGCATGAATTACGTCAATGAATATTATGGATCACACTCGGCTTAATATTCATTAGAAAACAATGAACACTTAAGAAAAAGAAGGTCGTTAATTACCTCCAAATACTTCTAATTCACATATAACAAGAATTCTTGCATTTCTTCTTTGTACTTGTATCTCCAAGCCAAAGACTGGATTCGTGAAGTTTACAGATTTCGGATTATAGTCTCCTATGTGATTACCCGCCGGGATGTCAGTGAATACAGGCTCATGTGACAAAGTGTAGTTCCCGTGCACATATATCTCGTACGACATAGACTGAGCTGCAACATTCAATCGAAACTATTATTTGTAAAAAATGGAATTATGTGCACATATTAATGATTTAACATTAAGTTGACATTAAGATAGGCTTATTCTATTTGCAGTACCATTCATTATACAGTAGTCCCCTTGTTAAGTTTACAACAAATGTCTTACCAGACGAAAAGACTAAACCTAGAATATCAAAATTAGTGTATAAGGTATATGTAGTTAATTGAGAAACTTTCGTTAATTTGATATATTATTTCAGGACAGTCCTGCGATTGTCGATTTTTTTATCATAATCAGATGTTAGATACATTAAATACTTATTAACGTGCCATTTTAATTAAAACGATATCAATACACATGTTACATTATAAAAAAACAAAGTTACTAATGACTTCAAATGATTAAAGGTATTACGTGATCAATTACGAGTTTCTACAGAAGTGGAGTTTGTAATAATATATATATATATATATATATTATATATATATATATATATATATATATATAATTAAATATTTAAAGGAAAATTAAAAACAATATGCTAACATATTGTGTAATACATTTATTGCAAAAGCTTAATATGTTTCTTTAATATTTATATTATATTATTTGTTGCAACATATATCAATCATTTCCTAGTGCACAAAAAATATAAACATCCGCATGTAACATCTTGATACAAACCTAATTGGCCGTAACGACCAAAGAAATGTATCCCTTGTATAAGATACTCAGTGTCCAAGTTAACACTCCATTGATGTGTTGTCTTTGATTTTGTTTGTTTAGTTGCCATGCATGTTCTTTCAGATTCAACATCTTGGTTTTCACCCTGACGCATTTGTCTTCCATCTACTGCATACGATGAATTCCAAAATCCTTCCCAGTGTAATGTTTCTTTTGGCAATGTTTGTTTGTTAAACGATAAATGTCGACCTGAATTTTAAAGGCATATGCTTTATCATATGATCCATCCATCCATCCATCCATCCATCTATTATGTATGTCTATCAGTCAGACCTTAATGACTAAAACAATTAACGTTCTGCATTTGGTAGAGTTGGTCGAGACACGATGACATGACAGTCAAAAGACAGACCTCGACTTTAGGTGATATGAATTCAGAATAAAAAACAATTTCATAAACGTGTCGTCTAATTTAACTACTATTAGAAAAATGTGATTATTGCTCCGCGCCCGCGGGCGCGGAGCTATTTGTGTTTACTATTTTTTTTGTCCATGGGCCCGGATTTGAGCAATAAATCCTTTCGATTAACAGCTAAAAGTGAATCCGCATTCAAGAACTCCTTTCGATTTCTATATTGGTTTCCCCGTCGGTGATTCGCAGCATGTCATATTAATGATTGAGAACCGGAAAGCAGTTCTGCTGTTACATAAATTCGAAAGCTATAAATAGCTATAAATGTTTTGATTTTTGACACTTAGGTTATAAATTTGTTATTTCCCTTTTTAAGTAGTACATGAAATTATAATTTGTTACATTTTGAAATACATTTACACACAGCATATCAAGTATACTATTAGTGATTGAATTTGTCAATATAAAGAAGATTTCAGGCAAAAGGTTTTAACAATTTTGCTTTTGATAATTATTTTTAATTTATATTTATGAAATTAAATGTTTAATAATAACATGTTGATATCATGGTTGTTTTGAAATAATTAAACTTTAATATATAAGGTTACATTTCATTAGCGTCATTGGTACAGCATACCATTTTGAGATAGTGGTATGACTGGTGACATGTTCGGGGGTCCGTACTCGACAGCAACAGCTGCATTTTGTAGCCTTACGAGCGGATGGACCCTCATTAAGGAGATTCCGCTTTGTCATCACAAAGTCTGTGCAAAGTGAAAGAAAGTAGGCCAAAATTCATATAACAACAAAGCTAACTTTGTTATATGAATGAGCCATTTGCAAGTACACTTCCAATTCTATGTTTAAAAGAATATTTTAAACAAAAATAAAAAATGATAACAATAAGAAATTTACCTTGAATCGGCTACATTTCTGATGACCAAAAACATTCTGTTGCAAAGTTTTATGCACATTTCATGAATGGCAAAATCCAGTTTAAAGTCTATTTTAGTGCAAACAAATGCTATTTTTTTGCAGAAAATACAAAAAAACTTTAAATAACATAAATCTTAGGAAAGTAGTTTATCTGACCTTGAAAAAACATTGCCTCCATGACATCTGTAAAAGTAGTACCATGAAAATAAACATCATTTACCTATTTCTTGTGTACATGACAAACAGACACACTTCACTGTTACACATAAAAAGGTTAGATTTTAAAGTTTGATTGTGTTTTCATTTTAATTGTAGTTCATAAGGCTATAAATGATGATTGTTTTCTTGAACTACTTTTTTACAAAAAAAATAATGGAGGCCATGTGCTAAGAAGGACATGAGATACTGATTTATTTGGAGTTAAGTTTTGTAGATTTTTGTATTTGCTGCAAAAAAAAGAGCTTTTGTTGGCACTAAAACATACTTTTAAAAGGATTTTGCCATTCATGAAACGTGCATAAAACTTTGCAACAGAATGTTTTTGGTCTTCAGAAATGTAGCACATTCAAGGTAAATATTCTTATTGTTATCATTTTTATTTTTGTTTATAATTGTCCTTAAAATATAAACCTGAAAGTGTATTTTCAAATGGTTCATCATTTTACAATAAGAGCTTTGTTGTTATATGAATTTTGGCCTACTTTCACTTTGGACAGACTTTAGTTAAAACAAACATGGCTGACAACGCGGAATCACCTTAAGCATAGGCTATAGATAGATATCATGACAACAACAGAAACTTTGATCTGCAGTTTGAACATGAAGTGTAATGTTTTTTATGAATGGTTTTAAAGCAATTCAACAAAAAAATATATATTGATCTCCCTAAAAAGTAATTAACAATAGTTTTTTTTATATATTACCAATGTCAAATAGCTTTTATATCTTTGTCTCGCACGAATATGATATTTGTGAATTTCCTCATACCTACCTAAAATTCAGGTAACAGTCTTCTATTATATTGATAAATAATGTATCACCATGTAACGCGTGTATAACAAACAAAAAAAATTCTGAATTTGGTCTTTTGGAAATTCATCCCATTTTTTCATTCTAGAGTGTGTTCTACTTTCAGTATTGAAAGAAACCATTTTTTTTAATTTGATATGAAAAATATGCATGTAATATTACTATATTATAATATTAGTCCCTTTTGTTACTATTTGTATATTTGTTACTATTATAACAGACTTTGATATTTCTATCATCTATCTTCTGTTACTGAAACAGAACACAGTACAGTCATGTCACATAACATTTACAAGTCGTGTAAGTCTTGTTTGTATTCAATGGAATTACTTTCCTTACCAGGTAGGCATCAGTGAAAGCATTTTTATATTAAATATTTTCCCCCTCTTTTTAATTATGGACAGTGCATAAGATAAGTATAATTATGCAAAAAATTGTTTACAAAACATTCGGAAAAAATCTACAATAGTACTTAATCTGAATATAACATGACCTGTGCGTAGGAATAATTTGGTAAGGTATCTGTAATGAGAACATTCTTTTGCGCGGAGCTTCTCAATTGCTGCATTGCAGCAACATTTGTACTTGTTAGCATTTTATTTACCCGTCCGTTTTAGCGACTATTTAAACAGAAATGCATGGCTGGTCTATCTTTTAAACGTGATGTCATTTGTACAAACCAATAGAAAAGAATAGTAATTTTTACAATAATTTAAAAATGTTTTTATTTTTTGTTTAATAAAATCCATTTTTCTTGCGTTGTAGTATAATTATGCACGGTTTAATGTTCAAATGAATTGCAATTAATCACTCAGTGCTAACAATCACCTACGCAGTGATCTCCCCTTATCAGTACAGAGGTCTTTGCCACCACACACATTTTTATCAATATTTTGATATTTTATATTTTTTAGCTTTTGAATTTATTTTGTATTATTTTGTATACTTTTGATAATTCATTGATAAACTATAACGAACGTTAAAAATAAAACAGAAATAGAAAAATGACGTTAGATTTTTTATGTAACGGTCGATATTTACATTTGAATTTCGACGTTACGTTATGTGACTTTTATCATCATGTGACGTCAGTGAAGGCAGTGATTACAATTCTGCGAAGGGAGGTAATCACTGTGAGGAGTTTGGCGAAGTCAGTGATTACAAATGTACAATCTGCAAAGGGAGGTGATCACTGTGAGGAGTGTGCAGTGATAATAGCCTTCGTGGTTATATTCCTGCGCATTGGAACTCGAACTGTGCATAATTTGTAATAATGCACTTAAAATTTATATTTATTCCCTAACAATGCGCTCAAAATTTATGTCTATTTTCCTAATTTAAAGAGCATACAAATGCCGTCAATCACCACGGTTTCCCACGGTGGCAATTAAAGCTATGTCTTATTGTAAACAAATATGGTCTTTCATAGGTGAAGATTATGATGTGATATTATTCCTGAAAAAAAAATGTGACAATGATTGGTCCTTATCTTTTAACAGAACTAGTATTCTTCAATAAGCATAGACTGTTTCTTCAAAAGGATAACAAACTAGGCGTGAACTCAATTCATATTTTCGTATTGTTTGGCGGATTTGCAGAAAATCGATTTTTAGAAGGAAAAAAATAAAGAAAGAAAAACAACGGCGAAAATACTCTTCACGTCCATTAGCTGCCATTATTTTGAAGAAACGTTACCGAAATGTTAGATAAATAATTAAGTAGTATATTAATATGGCTTAAGGTGGTGAATATGATGTGATTATATGTACTGGGAAAAAATATTGACTGAGATTATATAATAAGATATGTACTGAAAAAATAATATTGACCGAGACAATTGCTTCTGGACTGTATTTCAGACAATATTCCCACTTGTTTAAGTAATATACCTTTCATTCACATTCAGAAATCGTTCGGTATTGTGAACATTATATTTTATAATTTATCTTTGAAATTATCAAAATATGATTTCACTGAGCACTGAAAAGCATGTAAATTATTAGGAATATAACGAATTAAGCGTTTCCGTGCGTTCTTTTTAAAAACGATAGGACCCAATTATAGAAACAGTAAACCTTCAGAAGAAATGTCGAATTAAGTCGAATTCATACGTAGATTTGATAAGCCATGTAAAAGAAACTTATAAATTATGAATTATAAAACTAAACAGATATGGACTTTTTAGCTTGTGAATATGATGTGATATGTACTGAAAAATAAATAATGACCAAGGCAATATTATTTTTATTCAGTCCAGATCACACCATATTTACCAGCTAATAGGATCATATTTGTATATTTGTATCAAAAGTTCAATACCTAATAGTAATAGATTCTAGTTAATAAATTGCTTACCTCCAAATATTTTAACCTCACATAGATTTAGCGTGTCTACATTTTTAGCGAGTTTAATTTCCACCACATTACCAATCATCTCTTTTTCACAGTAGATTGTCATTTTCTACTTCCGTTACTGTCAGTTCCATGTTGATAACATAAGTCTTTTACATCCGTGCCGTTTCCTATCTCAATGGTAAAACCTCTATACTTCTCTGGAAAAAGGGAATTTATTTGATCATAATGATAGAAGACTTCACGATTGCGACAAACGCAAATGAACGGATTTCAGAAAAATAAATCAATTCAGGGAAATAGAGCCCAATGAATTTTGACGGAGGTATGAAATAATACAAATGTCACGGATAGAAACAGTACAGTATCAGTTTTAGCTGCTTGACGCGATATAATGTTAATTGTCCAAATGAAGAGCTATGCACATGTTTATCAAACCGAACCGAAATGCGGAATCAGGCATTTCTATATAGAAGTGCGTAGTGCTATAAAATTCCGGAAACAAAGTGATCCCTCGGAAGCACCAATCACATTAAAATTACATGAGAATAGCAGACTCGGTTTGATTGAGTCTGTGCATGAGGGATAATGAAAACGTGCCTCCTAGCACCGACTGAGCGGTACTCAATTCTCAACACTCTATAGTACTGGCACCAATGATCCCGAAGGACCAGAAAAATATAACTACACTGAAGTGAAGTACGGGGTAACTTTTTAAAGCTGCCACACATCACTTGTCACCTCCTGTTGTGAAGTATAAAAATCCCGAAACGAAGTAATCCTTGGAAGCACCAATCACAACAAAAGTACAAGAGAATTGCAAACTCGGTTTCGTTGAGTCTGTACATGAGGGATAATATAAAAACTGAAAAATAAATCAAGCCACTATCATAACTTGACAACAAATGAAAGTGTTAATAGATATATATTTACTGTCTGTATATTGTTTAAATGATTACGGAATTACATAATACAGATTACTGTTTGAGCACTTAAAACTCTTATTTTCAATAATGCTCTAATTCAATATTTGTCTTAATACAAGAAAAATTCTCAAAAGCAATTACAGGACTGGAGCAGTAACTCTAGACGCTTGCAGAGATCATGATCAATAAATAGACAAATATCATTTATTTTTCCGATTATTACATATTTCATTTATAATCATACATAAGCTATGGGGAATTACACCTAATTAAGTACATAACACTGTTATGTGATATTTCAATGTTTCTATCATTATTTTGCCGTTTATGATGAGTAAGATACAATCTGGAACAGACGTTATGTAGATCTTCTGTAGATCTCCAGCCTGTGGTGCTCCTAGATTGCTGATTGACCTACATCATCACCATGGTGCTCGCTGTTATTGATATTTCGGCCCTTATCCATGTATATCTGCTGGCGAGTGGGCCCTCCGTCTTGCGGTGTGCAGGTCGATTGCTTTCAGCTCTTCTCCACCGTGGGTAAGCAACTTTGGTCACGTGACCACAAAAGCCCACGTACATGGCCAAAATACCTCGACTGAGGTAAGTTTTTTAGTGATTATTTTTATGTCCAGCCAATTCAAATTATGCTACATAGCCTACCGACCGCGGCAATTCCGATGCTTTCTAAAAATGTATTTGATGTCGTCCAACGTTTTGTACTTTTTGAGATCATTCAAACAATATTTGCAAATTGTCGATGACAACGTACACACTTTTGTGTAAAAGTGTTGATGAAAGCTTAATAAACGATACGCATGTCATTTTTAAGTAAAATTTCAGGTATTGAAATATATAAGAGAATGTTTTAATGAAAAAGGAACTGGTTTCCTGCTGTCATGTTTTGTATTTATTTAAAAATTGACCAACTTACAGAAATGTCAACGTACACATACTGTCTAGAAAATGTCAACGTACACACTCACAATTCAGTTTGATAGTGGTCTGAACATAAGGCTGAAACTTCGGAGTAGGTGGCTTTTTCTAACAAAAAGTTAGCTTTCAATATAGATTGCCCTTTCAAACTGTTTCAAAAAGTACAGATTTATACAAAGGAAAAAAGTTGCAAGTACATTCATATCATCACAAATAAGCTTAAACAACCTTTAACTTTTTTATAATGTTATTTATTTGTTCTTTTGTGGATTTCGTTGAGAAGAAAAACAAATTCCAGTTACTCAGATTGCTTAATGATTTACTGAAACAGCAATTTTAAACTGTATTTATTTAGATCATTTTACAGTCATTTAATAACGAAAACAGCCAGGATAAGCGTCTCTTGCTCAACCAACCTAGTGCCTTCTGTAGCAACAAAAGTTGCCAATCAGTGATTTTTTTTCTTCAATTTTCAAAACAACCTGTTGCTTTCTGAAGGAGAAAAAATAGCGCGATAAATCAGAAAAGGGGGAAAACCTGAAATCAAATTCCAACAACTGAAAATGAAATTTACCCGTACATTTTATGAAGTAAAAAAAATCAATTCATTTAACATGCATGGTACATAACAGAGGCGATATATTGGGACAGATTTCTGTCCTCTAGATGATATAAGTAAGTTGCTGTTAAGTCACGGTTCTGGTTATGAAGATCACTAGGCATTTAAGGGGAAAATATTAGCACTTTTAGGGGAAAATATACTTATTTTGGGCCAGGGGAAACAGCCTTTATTCGGCTGTAAAATACAGTGAAAAAAATCACTACGGCAATGGGTGTTAATGACGCCGAGTGACTAGTTTAATGGTATTATCAGTATTTCAGCAGTTATGTCATTTTAACCATATGATTACATCACAAACGTTCTATTTACATTATATTTTCAATAATATATCTCCTTGCAATAGTTATATAATTGCCACATGTTATATACATTGTTATTTAATACATGGGCAAGCTTAATAGACGTGATATATATTTTTGCATTCACAGTTTTCTTTGCCCTTTTTGTTTCACTGAAAATTTTGCCAACCATGTCTACTTATTTACATGTCTATGATATGTATTCAACAAAAATGCCATACATTTTAATAATTTGCATTGCAATCAAAATTTTAAATTCAAGCAAACCATTTTATTTGAGCGAAATGTCGATAAAATTTCTGCATTGTAGCAATCATTTCAAATATATTGTGGTATTTCTATGATTATTACTGGGTCATATGACTGTGGTACTTGATATAACTTTTTTAATGTTTAAACAATAAAATTGATTCATATCTATAGCTCATACAGTGCGCACATAAATAAGATAGGTAAATTTATTACTTGTAACCATTTTCCAGTAACTGGTTTCTTGAGCAGTAAAAGCCTATACTAGAAACTTGGTACTAGTAACTAACCATTTGACAAAGGGTAATTGGTTGCCTTAACCAACCTATAAAATTGTGAATTGTTTATAAGATATTTTTTACATAACAAGTGCAAGTAGATATATTCTTGAAAATATAATGTAAATAGGACATAAATGATGTAATCATAGCTAAGGATCAAGTGACGCAACTGCTGAAAAACCGGTAATATAAAATTGTAACTCGGCGTCATCGTCAACCTTGGACCCTTTCACTGCTACGGTAGCACTAGTTGGTTGAGCAAGAGACCCTTATCCTGGCTGTTTACGTTATTAAGATGACTGTTATTACAATCTATATTGTAATACGATCTATATTAATCCAGTTTAAAATATAAAAACGGCTGTTTCAGCTAATCATTAAGCAGTTTGAGTAACTGGAAATATGTCTTCTTAAAGGGATACTCAGGCAAATTAATGACAAAAATATCAAAACTATCTTTTGTACTCGAATCACGCTGATATGACATTTGTAAAAGTTCCAGCATGGATTTCTGTAAATATTCTATATATTTTGGGTTTGAAGTTTAAATATACCTGTATATGTTTAACGAAATTTAGACGCCGGCAGAATCACTGAGTAGTTTTAAAACAAGTCATGCGACTTGAACAAACCATGGAAGTTACAATTACAGATATTGTGGATATAGTATTATTGAAACAAACATAAATCATTCATTTGACAGGTTCTTAATAGTTTCCAGAGTTCACTGTGACTAGACTTGTGAAATGTTATCGCTCTAACCTGACCCGCGTGGGTCAGGTTAGGAAACCACCTTTTTTTTATTTATAAGGAGAAAAGTTTTGTTCCTGTGACTGCCTAGTGTATTCATTTTGAGAACATTTACAGATAAATGAATGAAAAATTCAAAACGAAGAAATGAAAATTTTGCATGTGTCTCCCTTTAAAACAAAAGTACAAATAACTTTTTATAACATAACAAGTTAAAGGTTGTTTAAGCTTATTTCCGATGAAATGAATGCACTCTAAACTATTTCCTTTGTAAAAATAATAGTAATTATATACAGTTTGAAAGGTCATCTAAATTGAAAGCCAACTTTTTGTTGGAAAAAGCCACCTACATGTACTTCAAAGTAGCAGCCTCATGTTCAGACCACTATCAAACTAAATTGGGAGTGTGTACGTTGACACTTTCTAGACAGTATATGTACGTTGACATTTCTGTAAGTTGGTCAATTTTTAAATAGACACAAAAAATGACAGCAGGAAACCAGTTCTTTTTTTCATTAAAACATTCTCTTATATATTTTAAGACTTGAAATTTTACTTAGCACTGACATGCGTATCGTTTATTAAGCTTTCATCAACACTTTTACACAAAAGTGTGTACGTTGTCATCGACAATTTGCAAATATTGTTTGAATGATCTCAAAAAGTACAAAACGTTGGACGACATCAAATACATTTTTAGAAAGCATCGGAATTGCCGCGGTCGGTAGGCTATGTAGCATAATTTGAATAGGCTCGATAGAAAAATAATCACTAAAAAACTTACCTCAGTCGAGGTATTTTGGCCATGTACGTTGGCTTTTGTGGTCACGTGACCAAAGTTGCTTACCCACGGTGGAGAAGAGCTGAAAGCAATCGACCTGCACACCGCAAGACGGAGGGTCCTTCTTCAGACCACAGTACAATATTTGGTCTTAGGTTGGTTTGGACAATACTTGGGAAAACAAGCTTCTTGCTAAGATCCACCTCTATGTTCCAACCTGTTGTGACATCTAGAATTGATGGTTGGTGTGGCAACAGTGTCTTGGCAGTTTCAGCCTGTTTTACAAAGTTTGGGGTTACTCCGTCGTTCCTTTTTCCTTTCACATTCAAGCCAGTCAGCCACCTTCTTTAGGACATTGTCATGACGCCATCGATACCTTCTCTGTTTCAGTACATTTGAACAGGAAGAAAGAACATGCTCTAGAGTGTTAGGACGTTCGCATAGGGTACATGATGGATTCGTTGTAAGTCCCCACCGGTGGAGATTAGCTGGAAAGGGTAAGAGGTCATGGACTGACCTGATAAGAAAGGATAACCGCAGTGGTTCAAACTTCCATATGCCTACCAAAATCAGCTTCCTGTCTATGGTGTTCTATGTAGTCCATGGTCCTTGTGCTCCAATTTCTACTGCTCTAGTGTTTGAAAATTACAATATACCTGTATCTCAAATTTTACAAAACAAAAAAGAATAAAATAAAAAATAAAGATACCGACACAGGTGACCTACTGATCGACCCTGTCTTCGAATGTCATCAGCCTCCAAAGACATTCTTCTTTTAATAGATCATTGACAACTATATTCTCGATACAAACGTTTTTTGATTGTTTTTTTTTTTTTGGGGGGGGGGGTTTGTTGTTTTTTTGGGGGGGGGGGGTATTTTTTTTTTCCAAACAAAATTTTGAAAAGAGTTTAATGAAATATCTTTAAATTATTTAAACTTTTCCCCCGCAGGAAACCATTTAACTTGTACTTTCTTTAGACACTCGCTCAAAATCATGTCCAGGAAAGAAAAGTAAGCAAACAGACGTCCAGTGTTGATTTACAGCAGGTTTCAACTAAGATAAAGAAAACTATAGAAATCATGTGCAGGAAAGGAAAGAAAGGAAACAAACGTCTAGTGTTGATTTACAACAGGTTTCAACTAAGATAAAGAAAACTATCTTGTAATTTGGTTTATACTATTTTATTTTAGTTCGAATGTGTTGGAAGCTATCAGCTTGTTGAAACTCTCTCGAATACGTTCCTGGAACAAATCAGTACTAAGCAAAGAGAGTAAAGTTCTTTTCTTAAGGAAACAAAGGCTTAAACAAGGGAATAAACACACCTGTTACTGAATCTGGTATAATGAGAACAAGGCCAATTATATAAAGCTCGTAATGTAGCTCGACCCTCCACCATAATTGTTCTGATGATGTTGTGATAGCCCTACTACATGTACCTGTAACACCATCTATAGCAAAACGTGCCGGATTGCGACTATCTCCATGATTCTGCGACGTTTGATTTGCTGTTAATGCATGGTTTACTAAATATAAAACATTATTTAATTTTACCCATGAAATATGGTGCTATAATTGTATAAATACTTAGATTGTGCTAAATGAAATATATGAATATGAATATGTCACTTATGTGCCAATTTTCGTTCAGATTTGAATTGTTGTGCATTTATATATTCACTTTAAACTACAAGAACTATCTGCACCAAAAATAAAGAATGTTCTGATAAAATAGAGAAAATAAATACCGTATTGCATGAAGTTTTAAATTAAATAAATAATCTTGACCATTTTTTAATAATCTCAAAAATATTGAATGGATATATTCGACCTTAATTTGAAATTTAGTGAAGACCACATTATATCCAGAATATAATTAATACACTGAAGTTATTACTTTCATTTGTATACGATTATTTTTGTCAAATTCACATACGGTATTGGCAAGCTGGTCCCATCCATCCATACAAACAACCGTGCAGGCATTCTCCTTTTTCGTTACACTCGTCATTATTCTTGCAATTGCATCTGTATTTACAATCTGGTCCAAACCCGTTTACATCCTTATGTACTGTTGATGGACATGCTGAAAAATTAAATGTAAATAAAATCTTTATAATAAAAAATTACAAGCCTCAAAAAGCTCCATTTACGAAGACTGATCAACACATTTTTTCCCTATGTTAGATGTCATTTTCTTTAAATAAATAAAAAAATAGACATTCAGAGCGTTTTCATTAGTAAACATTTCTAAACTTTAGCAATTTCTAAACTTTTGCTAAAGTTCATTACTCTGCATAAAATTATATATCAACTAAACTAGGGGAATGAGATGTTTGTGTAACTATGCACTGTTGACAAAATGTGTTTAAAATGACAAAATATAAAAGAAACATTCATTTAAACACGCACGCGTATCACATGAGATATTGCTGTTTGTTTTCATGAAACATTATCGGTCTCTATGTTGTTTATCGGCTAGTTAACATCGGTTGTGAGTTAAATATGACTACGAAATCTTTAATTGTAGTGTTTTACGTTAAATAAACACAGTACGGGTCGTATAGCGACTTTCCAGTTTTTACTGTTAAAGACGACATTAAGTGTCCCTCTGCATATTATTTCAGCCAAAACGGGCATCTGAGTTGAACCACTGACTTTCCATAAGATAGCTGGATATTTATTTTCTCACACTTGGAATCCGACAACGCTTGCGCGACATAAACCTACATGGGGTCAGAGGCTAGTGTTTTGAAGTCAACGACATAAACCGCTCAGCTACGGACTCCCCGGGAAAACCTTTAAAGGACAGACAAAAAATACAAAATCTAACAAAAATAAAACGTTTTGAAAATGTATGAAAGTGTTCTCTGAACTTCAACTGATTTTTATATTGAAATGTTTGCAAAATTTTCAATTAAACAAAAAATGTTATATTTGATGTTATCCAGGTAAAAAATATATTGAAATTTGGGATGACTAACCTCTATAAAACAAAATTTCGAAAGAAAAGGAAACAATATAATAAGAGACGGTCGAAGAAAGATGGGGAATAGATATCTAAAGAAGTTCATAATGCTAAGCCATATTCCTGCAATCAGTTCCAGTTTCTTGTATATTATAGATATTACTTTATCATGACATTGATTTCTGTTGATAAAAGATATGCCTTATCAGTCACCCACAGCTTCATCAGACACCTCATCAATGGATATTGAACTAAAATGAAGATAATGTAATATTTTATCTCTAACTAGTTTGAAAATATTAAACTGATAAACTTTGAATCGAATACATTTTTGGATTTTGAAGTCTGTGAAGTCTGTCTTACATTTTACTAAAAACCTTTGGGACTATTTCTTTAAATATAGGATGAACTGGAGAGGTTTTTGACAGTTTCTTTTTAATTTAAAGTAAGAAACGCATATTAAAAATGAAAACATGATAAATAGAATACCAAACGGATGTCTGATATTATAAAATTCGTCAGGAACTATGTATCAGCAATTTCAAAGAATTGATTCGATACATCATATCATCAAACTGTAATTTTGATTACATTGATCAGAATGTTTGCACGAAGTGTATTTGAAAGATAGTGCAGATAGTTTGTTTCCTTTAAAATTCATCCTGAAACGGTTCAACTTGAAACTTGAACAATAAAATTAATATCAGTTTTGTTTCCTGTCAAATGATTCATTATGCGCTTGATTTCAAAATGCACTTTAATAATGATTGTAGGTAACGGTTTAAGTACAAACGGAAGTACGAGTAAAATTTAATACTTTATTTAAATTAACACAATATATGTGTATATGTGATTGAACATGCAGGAGTGTTGACAAACTTGCAGTTCACTGAATACACTCACATTAGCGAAGGTGAAACATTCGAAAGATGTGCAGGAGAGTGCTCTCACGCCAACAAACACAAGATTACACAGAATTTAATCTGTCACACGGAAGTAATTGAATGGGACCGTTGTCAAACAAATGAAACACCAAATAATGTTTTGAAAGCAGTAAATGCAATTTTTGATGATATTGCTGTCATGACGTTGACTTACGACACTTATTTGCCAGTAAATTATTCAAAGTAATAACATAGATAATGTTGTGTCTTCTTTAAATGAACTCTTGAATTATTTATACAAGTGTTGCTCGTATTATAAGGTTTATTTAAAGCAATGTAACAGTGTTATGATGTCAAGGGATCGTGAATATACAACTTATATTATATGCTGAATTATTTTATTTATTCTATCAACTTACCAATTTAATAGTTCCTCATTGACATTCAATAATGTTAATTTGTGACTTTTCATTGTTTTATTTATCTAAGAAATAATATCTGTCTGAGCGGTGTTTATCGGCTATTTAACACCGGTTTTGAGTTTTGATGCGCAGGAATTGACCACGAAGGCCGAATGTTTGCTTATGAATTATTCGCTATAATAACCATAACTGTTTAAAATATGATAAACAAGATCGACAAGGAAAGGCGGCGTTCAATGAACGCAGCCCCCACCCGACCCAGCAACAAGCGTCAGTGGCAAGGAGCCCAGGAGGACCCCAAACAAAAATAGGACAAAGCATAAGACAGAGCACGGGCAGGCAAACCACTACATAAGAATAAATAATTAGTAACTTATAAGGAACTAAAAGAAAACAAATAAATGATTGAATATTAGGCCCATAAAGTCAAAAGGCACATGGGAAGGGGACACGAGACCCGGGGAAGGGGGGGGGGGAATAAATAAAATAAATAAAAAATAGGGGCAAAGGGGAAGATACTTACCGTAGACGAGAAACAACAAAAAACACAAAAGTGTCACCATAACAGTATAAAACAACATAGACATACATCTGAGGAACATAGAGGGGCGCCGCCTTGGAACAGTCAGCAGCATAAATACTGCTGGGGAGTTTAAACCGGTTAATGGTTTATAAAGGCTTTATAAACTATATAATTGAGGGAGAAAACATAACAGCCGCATATACAAGTAGTTCCTAACCAGTGTTTATTGGCAGTTTAACACAGTTTTTTCTTCTTCTTTGTATATAGAGACACAATTACAAGGAGTGATAGATTTATTTATTTATTTATTTATTCATACTCAACATCACTAATTCCGCGTCATCATTTTTTTCACGGCAATGGCATATTTTCATGTCACCAGTTTTAAAATTGGTCAGAATTGACATATTTTATTTATACAACTTATGAATGGAAGACCAAAAAAAAACACAAAAAAAGAAAAAGAAAAAAGGGGGGAAAAAGAAAAAAACGTATTACTTATGCAGAAATTTAGAATGTAGAACACTCAAATATCAGTCACGCCACAAGTAATTTAACAATACAAGATGCCCATTATCAAAAACAACTACATGTAAACGCAAGAGAAAGCGTCATCCTATAATTAGTTCCCGGATGAGGAAATTTTCATTCTATAACTATTAGCTATTGAGTTTGACATTGCATATTGTATACAGAATACCCATCAACATTATCAAGAGACACTAATTGGACCAATCAAACATTATAGCAAATAATTATTTCCACAATAATTAGACAAAAATGTGTTTATTCAGTAAATGCCTCATAGGTTTAGAATAGTTTTTTAACGGCAAAATTATCTAGTGAAAAAAAACGATGTCAATTTTTTGTTTAAACATGCGTTAAGGTTACTTTTACCTGAATAACAAATTTTACCTTATAAAAGCGTGATTGCAGCAATGATGGAATGGAATCTAAATTTTTCGGTCTGCAATAAATACTTTTTATTAATTGATTGTTAGTTTATTTTTTACTTCTGTACACCCTCTTGATATCCCTGCATGCGATCAATTAGTTTGTAAAATTGACATGTTATTGCAATTTCAAAACTTTAATTTTCCTTGATCGGCAGTCAAATTGAGAAGAAGTATTAAGTTCAGCTATTAAACATAAATTCATAATTAAATATCTGAGAACTTTTAATTGATATTACGCCTAAACCATTAAGACCGTTATTCTTTAACAGTACTTTGACATTATTCATTTCGTACAGAACGTACAGAGTTTACCTTTAGTTTTTATTAAATATATTTTTCAAATTTTATATTAGATCATTGCTAAGCCGAAATAATTTATTACATTTATTACATTGACGATTTAAAAAGTTATTTTTATAACATTTGTATTGTCTCAATGTTGTATTGCAAAGATGCAAACTTTATTGTATAAAACTTGATGTTAAAATGTCAGTTTAAATGTTTTACCTCAAACGCATCCTTCTTGTTCTGGAGAGTATACTATAGTTGTACACTCGAAGTAGCCATAGTAAAAGAAGTTTTGTTTAAGGGGTGTTTGACCTTTGCATGTAACATGCATTTGTTGTCAAAATTTACCTCTTGTATATTTGTTACTTCATTCTCGCACTTGTTGCTTGCATTTTGTATAACTATTTTATCAATTAATTTCACATTGTGTCAATGGATTGTAAA